CATTAAGAGCTGTTGTGACCCACTTGAAACCACATTAAGAAAAAAAAAATCAGAGCTGAAAACAGCGAATAGGTCAATGGCATGCCTGGACCGTACATTCCTGTGAGTCCTTTTTATGGAATTGCCCTTCATAGCTGCAGGTTCTGCTTCTTCAGGCTCGGCAGAAAGACCTCATCTGTACCGAGCATGTGTGTTTTCTGTGATTCTCTACTACAGCATAGCAGGTGTAAGTCATTTGGAGACAACCGAACATGTACAAGAGGATGTGTAGGAACTATTCAAACACTGTGCTGTCGAGGACTTGAGCATCCAAGGATTTGGGTACCTCGGGGGGTCCTGGAATCGATCTCCCATAGATACTCAGGTGACTACCCCTTTGTAATTAGCTTTAATTATGTTGAAGTCCTATGAGAGCTGGTGGCAATACTGTCTTGGTTGTGATGTGCGCACCGTGAGCTTACCCTCCACTCAGATATGGACCAGCCGACTCCTGCATGCCCTGTACACAGCCAAGGTCTTGAGCCATGGTGTGCTGCTTAAACTTACGTTCACCCTGTGGATGAAACTTCCCTCCTACTGTCCATGTCCCATAAAGACACAAAACGTGAAAACTCATACTGGCCCGTCCTGGCCGATCTTCATTTGTGTAGTGTATGACAGCTCCAGGAAGGAGTGTGCACAGCTCCCCATGAGGTCCTATCTCCAAGACGGCAAGTCCGGGCTTGCTCTCTGATGTCTCTTGGCCTGTTTGTTGTTTCTTGTATTCACACATTTCTAATACTTCTCACCGCTTCAATTTTATATTTAAAAACATTGTGATGTCCAGAATCTATTTGAAGCATATATCACATTTTTTGTGTATAAAAAGCTCATTAGCTGAAGAAGACTGAGTTAGGAGGGTCACGAGGTCAAGACCAGCCTGGGCGACAGAGCAAGATTCTATTTTTAGAAGGAAAGAAATTCATTAGCAAATCTTGTTATGCCAGCTTCATATTTAGGAGTCTTTCACATCATAGGCCCATCCGCAATGTCCTGTGTTGCTCCGTAAGGCCAATCCTGCAGACAATGTTAATGGCTGGAGTAGGCGTGGCCCTTGAATGCTAATGGCTGGGGTAGCTGTGGCCAGTTTGCCTAGGATATGCCACTCACTCTTCATTACCCACCAGACTGTTGGGATCTCAGAAAATATTTTACTGTCACATTCAAGATATTTTGCAAATTATTTAAATCTGGCACTTAAGAACAAAACTCTATGTAGCTACGTTCATCTGAAAATTGATCAGAGAAAAAGAAGCTGCTGACCCACAGAGAAAAGTAAAATAATATGCATATTTGGCAGTTACAAAACTTGGTGTGGGGACTGGAGAGGACTCAGCTAAGAGCACTGGCTGCTCTTCTAGAGGACCCAGGTTTGGTCCAGATAGTAGCTCACAATCATCTGTAACGCCAATCTCATGAGACCCAATGTTTTCTTCTGGCCTCTGAGAGCCCTGTATGCACAAGGTGCAGAGACATACATGCAGGCAAGTAAATAAAATGAATGAACAATAACCTATCAATAAACTAAATAAAGGAAAAATTAAAGATGGTGTGTGGATGAGCATGCTTCCTGTGGTTCTTAAGATCATGTGGTCCATCTTGTGTTCTTCAAATAAAACCATATAGCACGGATCCGAGGAGAAAACGAGGTGGGCTGTCTGGAGATGTGAAAGAACTGGCTTTGGTATTTCTTCCCGCAAATGCAGTCAGGAACAGAAAGATCTTTTAAACTTCGAGCCCTTTTGCTGTGTATACCTTCTTTTCCTGCCACAGAGGAGGTGAATTTGACAGCAGATAAATGTCAGAGAGGCAGCAGAGGGGCCAGCTCTTCAAGACTGCTTGCATTGTGAGAACTCCAGCTTGTAGTTTTCTTTGTTCTACATAGTAATCAAGCCAGGAACCCCACTAAGACCAGGGCTCATCAGAAGGGCAGCTGCCCGAGAATTTGAAATCGAAGAACCACACCGAGAACCTATACCCAGGACTATGAGTCAAAAGAAGTCCAGAGTTAAGAACTGATCACGCCAGATGGTAGCATATATCTTTAATCTAGTGCCCAGGAGTCAGATGAAGGGGGTTCTACGTGAGTTCAAGACCACCCTGGCTTACATTGTTCCAGGACAGCCAGAGCTATATAGTGAGACCCAGTCTCAAGACAGAGTGGGGGTGCTAAGTCAGGGTGGGGAACAGGACAACAGTTGGAATAAATAGCCTTATTTTTAAACCAGTGTTTAACTGGAGGGCGTTTTAAGCCAGTAGCAGTTGGTTGAATGACTTCAGCAGTGAGCAACCAACCCGTGAAAGGCTCCATTTTTGCATTGAGTTTGTTTCAGCTTTTGGTCTGCCTTAGTTAATGTGACTGCATGTTACCACTGCTTTGAAACACGGTGCAGTTAAACACAGTATTTCAGGGACAGTGCTGACAAGTTCAGTCTCGCTGACCCTAGTATAGACTCTCTGATTTCCTAGAAGGTAACTGAAATTAGGAACTGTCAAGAAATGTCTGCAAAGGTTTAAAGTTCCTGAAGTTTGAGAGTTTTTGAGTTAAAAAGTCTACCTGATTTGTGTACCGGAAGTCATGTTAAAGCATTGGCTTTCGGATGCTCATATCATTGGAAAGGAAAACTGAAAATCATACCCAAAGACTAGTGACCATCAAAGCCTGCAGTGTGTCTTGACTGGTAATTTGTTCCAATGTTGCATGCATTATTAGATGTTTTCTTCTTCTTTAAAATTGAGCTGCTTCTCAGATCTGAAGAGAATCTTTGGACTCTTTCTTTGGCCAGCCTTCCTCTACATCAAATGCAACAGCTAGTTCTTACTGTATGATTTTTTTGGTTCTCTTTCTCTCTCAACAACTGGGACTCGGTTGAAAAGCAAGAGAATAAAGTTAAGAATTTATGGCTTGAGGGCCCAAGAGGTGACTGAGCAGCCGGAGATGCTTGTTGTCAAGTCTGAAGACCTGAGTTTGATCCCCAAGACTCACATGGTGGGAGGAAGAACTAACTCCCGAATGTTGTCCTCTGACCTGTGCACCCACACACAGAGCAACTAGATGTAAATAGAGAAGAAAAAACCCTTAGAATTGATCACGGGAGAGCTGCTATCATGGACCACTGACAGAACACACACAGGAACCATGCCTGGCTGTGTGTGAGACTTAGGTGAGGCCAGTCTGTCTGCCAGAGCCTTACAGCAGACTGGGGAACGGAGGAACTCTGAGGGTGCTTTATAGACATTTCTTCATGGAAACAGCTGGGACTATGTGCTCTTCAAATTCTGCCCATGTTTATCCTAGGTTAATTATTTCACAGAATATAGTTCCTAATATTGTGTTTCTCAGGAGTAAGAATATACTGTTGATCTCAAAATGGTAAACAGTAAAATTTCTCTGTGTGACTTGGACCTGGCCAAGAAAGGAATGAGCAGACTGCGGGATCTTTGTCCCAAGCTGGCAGGCGATGGTCTCCCACGCCGTACAATGCAAACTGAGCTTGACTGGACTGGGCTCAGTGGCATCTGAGTGAGAGGAGTGTCTACAGGGGAAATCAAAGTTAAGAAATACAGGTTCGTACTTACTACCCACTCCCCAGGGAGCTCCCCCAGATGTCCTACCCTAGGATGGCTACAACCGATGACCACATGCTGACACACCATCACCTCTGCTGGTCCTGGCTTCACACCCAGCTTCGCTCTGTGTGCTGCACATTCTAAGGTAGAAGGACACACCATCTATGTTGCAGTATCAGAATCGTTTCTCTGCCTTAAAAAGACCTTGAACCTTGCTCCCTCGAATTTCCCAACTCGAATTCCTGGCAACTCTGCCCTTGCTGTCTCTGGTTTTGCCCCCTTGTCAAACGTCAGAGTTGCAGCCATATTGGCTTTTCTTTAACCCTGTGACAGCACTGTAAGGGCCCTGTCTTCACCAAAATATTTTTAGTTGTAGACTGTTTTACTCCCAATGTGTCCATAAGTTATCACTAACATTATTCTAGGAATCTATGTGCGTTTATGGTAAAATACCAGATTATGTTCCGCACCATTATATCACATACTAATTTGTATGAACTCAGGCCAAGCCTACTGTTAGACTTCACCAACACTTGCGTTCCTGCAGCCTGACCATCTCTGTCCATTACGCTGACACTGGTTTCAAGGGCAGCTTAGCTGAGAATGCGGTTTCTTCCTTGTTACTGTGTCTAAGGTGAGGAGGGTTACTTGCCTGTGAGGGGTCTGCTTGCATTGTAAAGTGGGCACTTCCATCCTTAGCCTTCATTTCGTCCAACAGGCAGGCCTGTCACTAAAGACACGTGGGCCCGCTCATGCTGCCAGTGCCCGCCCATTGGCCTTGCAGTGAAGAGCTTCCTTCCAGTTGGTATCTTTTTATTGTCCTTCTGCAGCTGCTGTGCGTCTGTGCACACTACGCCGTGTCTGTGCCGGAGAGATGTGCATCTATGCGCAGTTTTTAATGCGCTGCTGTTCTGTAGTCATCTCGTTGTGTTCATTTGTTCAGGATGATACCTCCTTTACGCGTACCTCTTCTGCCAGTGCTGTATTTGTTCCGTCTTGCCCTATCTATCCACCTCGGTCTTGTGTATGGTAAGCCTCATCTATGCCTTTGTGATAAGTGGAGAGCAGCCTTTCCATCATATAAACAGAGCAGAGATGCCGCTGTCTTGTCAGAAAAACAGCAACACTGATTTAGTAAGACACCCCACAGCACTTTCAGATTGCAGCTTTAAAGCAGAACCGTAGTCATGTTCACCTCAGTGACAGATACCTGGGCAGCAGAGTTAAAGGGGAAAAGATGTCTGCTGCTCATGGTTTCAGTCAGTGGTCACTGATCCCATGGCGTAAGATAGGGAATCATGGGAAAATGGGGAGATGGGCAAAACTGCTCACTGTGTGGCAGGGAGGGAGCAGAGAGGCAGGAAAGACCAATACAAGAAAGAACCATTATACTAAGAGCAACACGGTAGAGCTACCAACTTTATGAACGTTCATTTGGCAAATGCACAGAGATGGAAAGTGTTAGTGTTTACTGGGGTTTGAGTTGGAGGAGGAGGAACCGCCTGCTGCTGAGCGAGCTTCTTTGGGGATAATACAATAGTCTGAAATTGGACAGTGGTGATAGCTGGTAACTTTAAATATACCAAAAATCAGTAAGCTGTATTCCTCCAAGGTATAAGTGTGGAGCTGGTGACAACGTACTTGGCAGAGTACTTGGTTAGCATGCACAAGGTTTTGGGTTTGCTCCCTAGCACCACATACATGTGCATACATACATGCACACACAACACACACACACACACACACACACACAATGAATTTCATGTTAATAATGCTATTACTCAGACACACAAAAAAAGGTCGTCAGCATGAGCTTCTATGCTCCCATACTGGAAGTCCCTCTGAAAGGAAAGCTGTACTTTATGTAGCCAATGATCTGAGAGTCTTGATACTAAGAGGTTAGTATACCTGATCGCTTCAAATACGTTTGTTCATAACCTGATCCTTACCTTATCCGGAGCATATTACTGAATAACTAATTAAAATATCCTAGAAAGAATACTTAAAAACAAATGTTCTCAGTATGACAAAACCAGAAGCATACAAGGCTGGTCCGCGCATACAAGCAGGTGTGCAGGGACCACTGAAAAAGTGTCAAATGTGTAACTGACATAGTGACAGTTAAAAACTGGCAGTAAAACACCACAGCACATGGTACCAGGTCAAACACAGCCTCTAAGTTCTAGCTTGTTCTCCCCAGATTTCATTCTCATGGTTCGCTAAGTCAGGACGCTTGGGTGAACAGGGACAGTCTGACAGTCTTGGGTGGGCTACAGCAGCTCTGCTCTACCCCAAAGCTTGGCACAAAGGAGTCTCAATTTAACCCTTCCTCTGTGGCCTCCAGGTCTACTCAGGCATCTCCCAGTGCTTGCGTGAAGAGCTGCGCTCTGCTGTCTGCAGCACACGTGCAGTGGGTACACAGGACTGCATCGAGCTTAACAAGAGATGGAGAATGACACGTTTCTTGCACTGTATTCATACAAAAAAATGGAAGAACATAGCTGTCAGTTTTCAAGGTCTCTGGCTAAAGTTTCGCAGATGAACTGTAGAGTACGCTGGTACAAAAATGCATCCTTTGTCTTCGGCTTGCAAATGTTCAAGTGGTTGACGTCCACAGGAATTAGATCCCCAATGCCTAAATCTGAAGAAAGCAGAAGTGTCAATAAAGCAAAGGGAAGCCATGCTCGCCCGAGCAGAACTCATCCTGTGTGAAAATGGATGCCCAGTAAGTAAGTCTCAGTTTGTGCTTTTCCTAAAATCTCATGCATGTTCTAAGCAGAGCCTGCACACTGGCATTATACAGACTTCTCTGTACCTGTAGGCTACGAGAAATCATATTCTATGAATAGGGTGCTGCACATGGGAACCATTCGAGACCCAAATTACAGGTGTGTGCAGGGGGATGTGGAGGGGTGTGTGGAGGGGTGTCTGTGGAGGGTGTGTGTGGCGGGTGGGTGTGGAGGGGGTAGGTGTGGTTGCAAGATTCAGTACTTTAGTAATCAACTGCTTGAGGAATAAGAAAGGTTATCTGATCTCAGTCTGAAGTCTACCTGGATGCAGGAAGAAGAGATGGCAGCGAGCCCACCACTGAGTGGAGGACGAGGGAATAGGGAAAGAGGGCAGTCAGGATTACTATGGCAAAGCTATGACGCTGCAAGGAGCCGGTCAGGAGACTGCTCTGCTGTTGCTTTAAATCCCTAAGGTTTTTTTTTTTTTTTTTCTGACATCTGACAGCCATTCTTTGCACTCTTTAAGTAGCTTCTTTGCAACCCCTCAGCCAAGGGCCCGGGCCTTTGCTTCTTGAGGATCTGTGGGGTACTGTCCGTCTATGTGGTGTATGAAGAAGTAAGACAAGGCTCACTGTCTACACTCAGGAGCATCACTAAGACAAGCATACTGTCCCTGGCCACTAACTTTTTCTATTGGCTATGAGCCACCAGGACAGGCCCTACGCTAGCCTCAGGAAGGAGTTCCAGGAGAGGATAATCAGGCGGAGGATATGGTTAGTCAGGGGAGGCAGCTCACACAGTGAGATGTATGGGAGGTTCCCACGCAGCAGCATCACCTTAAGAAACTTGGCTGTAGGCTCTATGCTATAGCCCCTCTTTACTTTAGGAGAAGCCAAAAACTCGTATTTTTAACACTAGTTTTTTTCTCTTTAATATTTCCTGCTTAAATCTTACCCATCCACCTTCTATTTACCAAGTCGTACAAACGTGTATATCCTACAAGTTTTATCAGTGGGTTTAAGATTTCTATGCAGTTATCAATGTTCATGGCCCTTTATTCTGGCTTATGGTTAAGATTTCTATGCAGTTATCAATGTTAATGCCCCTTTATTCTGGCTTATGGTTAAGATTTCTATGCAGTTATCAATGTTAATGCCCCTTTATTCTGGCTTACGGTTAAGATTTCTATGCAGTTATCAATCTTCATGGCCCTTTATTCTGGCTTATGGAAGTGCTTGGCATTCTCCTTAATGCAAGCGCTACTGTTGGTGCCTTGGAGCTAGAAAACTAACCACTGTCATCTAACTGTTAACTAGAGACGAGAGGCTGATGCCAAGGCTGTGTGCTTGCAGAGGATTTGAATCTGTTGCTAAAGAGTGTTATAAACTTAGATTCTGGATTATCATTCAACTTTCTCCTAAAATCCCTAAGACACTGGCTATAAAAACTGACATCTATTACATGCTGGGTCCCCTCAACTAGGCATGCAGTGGCCACCGTGTCTCAAGCACGAGTACCTGCTGACTCCACGGGCACTATGTGCAGTTTAAGCATGCTGCCGATGAAGGTCGGTTGTGTTTCTACAAAGTTCAGCACCTGGAAGCTTTTGTCTTTCGCAAACTCCAGAAAGTCATCCTGTAGCATCTTCAGTGCAGGAGAGTCTGAAAATCAGAGAATGAGACAGGCTCTGTTCACTCCTTCAGATAAAAGGTGTTCATACTTAACTCAGAGAGGAAATTAAGATTTGGATTCACAAGGGGCTCAGGTAGGAGAGCTGGCTAGGCAGATGAAGTCTTTGCCTCACAAACCTGAGGTGATGGCTATTCTTGGGTGTCTACTTGACTACATCTGGAATTAACTAAAAACCCAAACCGCTAGGCACTCCTGTGAGAGATTTTTAGTTAACTGGATAATTTAAGGTAGGAAGACACATCTTATATCCAGATCACTTAAGGACCCACCTTTAATCTGGGCTGCACCACCTAGTGGTATCCTAAAGGTCAAGGAGGGACAAAGTGTTTGCTCTTTGCCCGTTTGCCCTCACTCTTGTTCCATTGGCATTAGAGCCTTGGGTTGTGTGTGTGTGTTTATTCTGACATGCTGAAGACCAGCTAAGACATCCAGACTTGCTGACTGAACAACTAATGCATTCGTGAAGACCACAGCCTGTAAGCCTTTCTATCATCAGTTCTGTTCCTCTAGAGAAAGAATCCTAACACACATAAAGACCTGTTTGGATCCCTAGAACCTGTGTGGAAAGCCAGCTGTGGATACACAACTGTAATATTAGCTGGGGGTAGGGGGAGTACAGGAGAGAACAGGAAGAAAACTGACATCGCAAGTCTGATTCATACTATTCTGGGGCAAACAGGAAACCTGCAGAGCACTCTAGTATCTTCAGAATGAGTTGAGAGGACAACAGACCACAACACAAGAAGACACGACAGAACAACCACCACCATAGCCAAGATGGCTGACAAGAGGTCTCCTGTGAGCAACTTGGCCACAAGGAAGCACCTGAGACCTGGAAAGGGGTCATCTGGGCCCCACAGCTCTACATACTGGTAACCATCACTCTTGTTAACATCCCAAGTTATCCTATGAGATCTAGGAAGATCTCTTGGGTTCTACAACTCAAGCCTATGTTTAGCAGACCCCAGCATTCCTATGCTCAATCCTCAGGACCTTCATAAAAGTAGAAGGGACGAATACAACGCTTAATGTGTCACCAAAGGGACACATTACCAAGGGAAGCATAACACCATGAAGGAAAAGATTAATTTTCCAGAAACAGAGTTGAAGGACATCTATGAAATGACCACGAAGGAATTGGACAGTGAGCCTAAGAGAATGGTGAAATGTAAGAGAACCTCAGCCAGAGAGACAGATCAGGAGGTGAGAGCGCATGCTCTGACAGAGAACCTGAATTTGGTTCCCGGCAGCCACAGCCCAACTCCAGTGGATCCAATGCCTCCAACTTCTGAGGGCCCTTGTGTGTGAGGAACATGTGCATACATGTGCTTACACACAACACAAAAACAATTCACAACATGAATGAGAGACTGACCAGTGGCAGATTAAAAAGAGAACCGATGAGAACTTGAAACTTAACATTACAGAAGAGTGTTTCTGTAACAGATTAGAATGAGAGAAAGAGTGCAAGCTTGATGATAGTTTTCACTTTGAACTCAGTCAAGGAAAGAAAGGAGGGAGGGAAGGAAAAGGGAAGAAAAAAAGATTTATACTGTGGAAACTCTAGAAGCTGACGAAATGTGAAAGTCAATTAAATAACAGCCAAACTTCCAAACAGGCAGAGATACAGACATCCACGTACAAATGCTCAGGACCCCAGAGACATGCAGTGAATAAACTTTACCAGAGCAAAATGTTAAAAACCTGTCAAACAGCAAGGAAAGGATGGAATGACACATGCAGGATGCTAATGAAGAAACTGCCAGCCAAGGATAGGGGATCCAGCAAAATTATCTTCAAAAATGACTCACCGGCACCACACCAGAGCAGAGGACAAGCCAGCCGTCATCAAAGCTCACAAAGGAACACACATGTTCACAAGAAGAACCAACCGAGACTCCCAAAGCCACCAAACCATACAAACGTGAGGCAGAAAGGAACACAGATGACAAAATGGCATTTACACTACACACTTACTAACCCTACAGATGAATGAATTATATTCTCCACCCAAAAGAACATAAGAAAAGAAGGGACTCGTGCAGGGACAGCTGTGTTCTTATCAGACAAGTCATATTTTAAGTCGGAAACAGTAAAGAGGCACGGCTGTATACAGGTAGGATCAGTTCAGCAAGAACATGCGCTAAGCTTAGATATGCATGCATCTAACACAGAACCACCCAATCATGTAAAACAGATCTAAATGCAGAGACAGATGAACACACAGTAATAGCTGGTGGAGACATCTAGACTCTAATTTCCACTATGCTAAGATCATCCAGAGAGAACAAGCTGAAACACTCGATACACAGGGGCAGGGCCTAACATGGATTCTTAAACCTCTTGATCTGTCCAAAGCAGCAGAGAAACACATTCTTCTGTGCACAAAGAGTTAAGAAGATGTTGGGCTATAAAACAAAACACAGTACTTTATAAGTAACATGCTGGCTCAAAAATTCATGTATATTTTGATAGTTGATGATTTTTCCAAATTCATGGAAAAAGGCAGTTTACTACTACTACCTTGGGAGAAAAACCATAATTTGTCTTGGTTTAAGTAGTTGAGATAACTTAACAGTCACAGCTATACTAGAGAAGACAACTACCTAGGAGCAAAAGAGAGATGGAAGAAAAGTCAAGCAAACCCAAAAGCTGTCCATGGATAATCTAAAGAAAACCATATACAAGTTAAACAACATGAGAGTATATTTAAGGAAGAAATGGTGGGTTTTTCCTTCTTTCCATGTATTTAATGTTCTACAACTTCAATTTCCTTCACAAATGTTACCCTTGCTGAGTTCTTTGACTTCCAGAGAGGGAAAGAGAAGATATCGAATATTAACGGAGTATTCAGCCAAACGTGATCCATGGTGAGGGACACTGTAAAAAATTATTCCTCTGGTATTGTTTATAACAGCGCTCAGTTCTGGCTTCTTAGAGGCTTCCAACAGCATCTTCTTGACAAGAAGACCTAGCCACAGAGGAAAAAGAGAAGAGAGGGTGAGCTGCTTCCTGCTATCACTCCTCAAAAAGAGCAAGCAAACAAGACAGCAATGCTGTAAAATGTAAGTAACTTCCTCTAGTGTAAGAAAACTGTCTTTACAATAAGGAGACTATTTTGGATGTGTCACTGTGAGTCTACAAGCAGTTAAGAGACCTCAGACTGCATACCCTCCTGTCACATATCTCACTGCCTCTGTGAGGTAGGTTGGTCACTGCCACTCACATCCAGAGTCACAGGGCCCACCAAGGAAAGTCAGCTTCTATAGGAAAGGCCCCCGAAGAGCACCCAAGCATGTTCTCTAACCAGGTAATACAAAGACCCAGGGATGGCAATGGTGGGTTCCGAGAAGCACAACAGCTACATCCAGCTTTTTCAGCAAAGGACCGCGGCTCAGGCTCAGCCTAAGTCACGTTAATCAAACAGCCCCGCCTGGGCTGGGCAAAGGCTTTAAGAGAGGCATACAGAGAGAGCTGAGAGCTAGTTTGGGGGAGCATAGGAGAAATAAGGCATGCAGCTGGAGCCGGGCACCAAGTACAGCAGCCAAGCACAGCAAACCTGTGGACACTCTTCAGCAGCACGGGCAGTGCCCAAGTCGGCAGTGTGAAGAGGCATGGACGGGAAGGCAGGGAAGCCCCGAGGACTGTGGCAATGCTGGCTTCCTGAGCATAGTGATAAGTATCCCACAGTGTAGTCTGACTCAAAATGACACATGAAACCACCAAGTCATCAATCTAAGCCCTCCCACGCAGTCTGTTATTAGCTGTCTCCTTCTAGGAAAACAAACAACATGGGCACAGAGTAGTAATTCTAAAACACTTAGCTAAAATGTTAACTTGGTGTGAAGAGACTAGTGAGACAGACAGACAGAACTTTCAGCTGGCTGAAACCTTGACAACCACCTCATAATGGCTGTCTATGAAGATAAACCTGTCCTCACCTCCCATGCTGTGTGAAATCCAAATCATTGGCCTATCCCCAACACCAGCAGCTCTCAGCTTGTTGAGAAGTTCGTTGCTTCTGAATGCAATGGACTTTCTGAACAAAACAAAAATACCAAGCATGATGGGAAGTGTCCATCCCCAAATCTCATGACAGGAGGGGTCCATCCCTCAAACCTCGCTGCCTACCTTAACATTTACTGTTCAATGCTGTCTGCTCCCACTCTGAAGAGTAGGCTATGCCTATCTTCTTCTCTATCATAAACTTGCTCACACTAACATAGCTGGGACTACCTAAGCCCACCACAGCCGCTCACACAAAACAAGCATTATTTAAATTAAATGGATCTGGCCATTTGTACAGGTCAAACATGGGTCTTAACCCAGCTGCCCTGGGCAGTCAGGTATGGGGTCCCAGTTCGTCACAGCCTGACACTACAGATGCCCCAGAGACTTGGCTGAGTTTCCTCCTACTTGTGTTTATGCTACAGACACTAAGCTCCCATTCATCGGGTTTATGTATAAATACGTAATGGTTATCAGAGAGTTCAAAATAAGTGATTTCAGGCCAAAACGGAAGTCAGCTTCCTCGCTGAGCAGTCTGTTCGTCTCACACTGTTTATCTGCAATCCGTTTTTTGAGAGCAAAAAAGCCTGGTGCTCCTCTGGGAAACAGTAGGTGAGCTGGGCGCCAACGTGGCCTTTGTTGTCACCTGGACCCGTGGGACCTGCTCATCAGGCACCATGTTATGTCACCAACTAGATCAGCTCTCTGTGAGCTAAGCTTCCTAGCATTCACTGACACTGCACAGAGAGCTACAGGTGGGACCAGGCTACTAGCTAGGTCCTGGAAACCAGGAAGGAATTGCTCCTTAGGACATAAAAGGGACGCAAGTCAAAACTGCTCGGCATCTCTTTCCCGGAGCTTCCCCAGCCAGCAGGACTGTGAATCCACAAACAACCTGACTCCCAGCAGAAGTGAAGGCCTTGCTAGAGCTCGGTGCTCCTTTACGATTACAGCGTAATGTGTCAGGAGCTCAACACGTATTCCAATACCTGTTACTTAATTTCTACTATTTATTATGTACTAAAGCTAATGCCTTCCAGAGGAGGGTGACGGCGGGGGCAGACTGGAGCATCCCCTCACATGCACAAGACCCGGGCTTGATCCACAGGCCTTAGAAAACAAACCCTATCTGTGATAGAAACAATAAAGTCCTCCTACGGCAGAGGATGCATTTGAGGCCCGATCCTCCTTCCTCCCAGGCTAGTGCTCCCTCCCTCTCACATTACCTCTCCATAGGGCACGTTGCCCTCCAGTCGCTGAGGCTCGTGTCGTACTCCACAGATATGATGCGAAGTGCAGGACAGTCCTTGGCTAGCCATGTCTAAGTAAAACGAAAAGCCCGTGAGAAAAGCTTGCAAGCAGAAGCATGCATTTCCCCATCAGGCTACTTCCTGGTAATTGCTGTCTGGAGCCAAGGCCTCCTGCAACAGACACTACAAAGACACTGGAATATACATGGGAAGTGAGGATAAAAACAAGCATTTTATCTCTTCATATCTGGTCACTAAATGCCATCAATATTTATAATTAAGGTGTGAGGACACTGTCAGTTTTAATCTGCAATTGCCGAAATCAAGACATCTTGGCGGCTTTCAGCAATTTGGAGAAAGCTATTATCTCAGAACAGACTATATTTTCTGCTGGATAACTGAGACATGAGAGTTAGAAACGAATCATAGCTACAGTTTGTCTCTGGGAACTGAGCGCTGACGTTTCTAGGATTTGTCATCCCAGGAGAGAAGAGCAAGCTGTTCTGAAGTAAAAGGGGGCAAAGCTCTGGAAACTGTTCACATACAGAAGCACTGTCCTGCACGAACTAGAATAAATCTCACCCGACGAACTCATCCAAGAGTTGAGCCCGGAGGAAATAATGTCAAAGAAATGCAAAGGAGAACTACATCAATCAAGTTTTTCTATTTTCATAATTATTAAGGTCATACAATTGGCTGTTACAAGTACATTCTGGCTGTATTATTAAAGTATGTATCAACAAAGTGAGTGATTACCCTACTTTTTAACTCCTGGAGTATTATCCCAGAATCACAGAATATATGCAAGCCCTGCTGATGACGTAAATGCAAGTCTCCAAGAGGAGGAAGCAGTACGGGGTGAGGAAGCCCCAGGGGCTCGGGACTGGGAAGCAGCCGTGGTGCACGCAGCAGCGAGTGCCAGCATGTGGGTGGCAGCCACAGGTGCTGCTCCTTACCTTGGGCCAGCATGTAGTGTACCTGTCTTCATCCACCACAGCATTTTCAGTCAGAGCCCGCTGGCTGTCATGCTGGCGCCAGGTTTTAAATGCTGCTCCCATAAGGCCATGAATAAAAAGGACATCGGCTTTAATGGGCTGACTAAGAAGGGAGAGAGTTTTAAAAAGAAGCAGAATAAATGCATTACTACTGTGGCAAGCTACGCGGCATTCTCTCTGGAAGGTTTTGGCAGGCTCACGTGACATAAAGGAGACTTAATTAGGGCAAACTTTATCAACACAGGGTTGCTGAGGGATCCGGGAACTGTGACAGAGACAGCACATTTACTGCTCCTTAGTGAAGAGAGACACAGTTAAGCAAACCAACCACAGGGACTGTAATGAACTCCGTGATTCAGCATGTGAGTGTCACCTCTACGTGACTATCCTCCAAGGAAGTCTATGCAGACATTCCACACACCAGCTGGTCTTTAAGAAGTTAGACACCAACATGCTAATATAAAGGCAAAGTCACCAGACAGGAAAAATATCAGGGGGCATCCACAGGACATGCAGTGGCCTCATGGGGAAACCCAAGACAACACACCCCATTCAAGGGTAGGAAGGAAACTTACTTGGCTTAGCCAAAAAGACACACATATGGGTGGCTCACCCAGGACCTCACCTTCCTCCCAGTTTTGTAATGCCGGGACACACCTGAGTCATGAGGCAGAGGTGAGGAGGGGCCACTCCCAGAAGCAGCCCATAAATCTGATCCAATCTCAAATCCCACCAGCTAGCATAGAGGATTACAATGCTCAGGGAAGAGAAAAGACACTAAAGTGGGAAACGGAAATTCAAGGAAAGAGAAAATGTTTTTAGACAAACTATCATTTTGTACTCTAGCTGGCTTAATGTTCAGTGATGACATTCATTTGAATGGTAAGAAATGGGGACCGTTTGACATTGCTAATTTTGTAGGTGGTCGTGCATGTGCCCTAAAAGTCCTAGGCAGGAGCAAAAGTCCTAAGTGAAATTTAAACTCAATAAGCTCAGGACAAAACTGCCAATTAATTATTATTAATAAGCTGATGAATGTTTAGAAAACTACCATTTTTAAAACATATTAAAAATAAACAAGAAAATTTTAGAGGTGGTATCAATGTCATAGATGAGTCTAAAGAATGTCACTTTTCTTGTCCTTCCTCCTCCTCTTCCTCCTCCTCTTCCTCCTCCTCCTCCGACCTTGCCTTTCCTCCTCCTCCTCCTCTCCCTCCTCCTCCTCCTCTTCTTCCTCTTCCTCCTCCGACCTTGCCTTTCCTCCTCCTCCTCCTCTTCCTCCTCCGACCTTGCCTTTCCTCCTCCTCCTCTCCCTCCTCCTCCTCTTCCTCCTCCTCCTCTTCCTCCGACCTTGCCTTTCCTCCTCCTCCTCTTCCTCCTCCTCCTCTTCCTCCTCCTCCTCTTCCTCCGACCTTGCCTTTCCTCCTCCTCCTCTTCCTCCTCCTCCTCTTCCTCCTCCTCCGACCTTGCCTTTCCTCCTCCTCTTCCTCCTCCCCCTCCTCCTCCTCCCTCCCTCTCCAGTGACCCCATGTGGAATATAGGGTTAGACAAAGGAGATGGATCAGTCACTGCCTTACTCCCTAGATAAACGCTGGACAGATGACTGAGCTGTGAGGCTCAAGGCCCTCTGGGGATTTTCAAAATTACTGATCACCCACTGACCTACAAAGCAGGGTGTTCTGACTTGATATTTCCGTGAGCAAGGGAGTCTCTCTCCTTGGGCTGAAAGCTCTCACAGTGGGCAGAGACATCAACCCACGCTGTGGATGGAGCGTCACTGCTGGCCACTGTGTCTTCTCCTGGCTCCTCTTACGTCTCAGAGAGACAGCATTCCTAACTCATCTGTATGGGGTGCCCTCTGGTTTACTGTAACTGTGTCCTTACTGTCCCTCAGTCTGCATTCATGACGCTGACTGGATGTGGCTCCATTTGTGTCTGTGGGTTCTTACTAAGAGTCAATAAGGAGATTTCTGTCTTGTACTCTAATTGTGGGTTTAGGAATTTGAACTGTTTCTCCTACTAAGCTCAAGAAGGCTGCCATCTCAAGATCATCCTCCTTAAAGCGCAGATAAATATTAGAGTTAATCATTAAACTGAAATGAAACAAAGAAATTACAAAAGATACACTTTAAATCTAGGTAATATAAAATTTATTTAAGAAAATAGCAAGAATAAAAGATTTTAGAGTTTAACAAAGCTAAAAGGTGATTCTAATTTAATTCATTTTGTTAAAAATTTTGATTCTGGCTTCTTTTTAAACTCACTAATTTGCTTTATGTTTTAGCATAAAGGTTATATTATCTTGGTTTATCAATGTACATATTTCTGTGTGCTATTGAAATATATTCTTTTGTATGTAAATGTGATAAAGCACCCCCCTCCCCGAAAGGTTTTCAGTTGAAATTAGCTCAGAACTGATGACATAACATTAGTCACATGTGATCGAGTTTTAGGACAAAAGCTTGAGCACCTCACAGCAGGCTCCGCTGCCCTCCATGTGCCAAAGGGACAGAAAGCTCCCTGGATGTGGCATTGGGAAGGACTAATAAAGGAGCCCAGGAGCCCAGTAGCCCAAAGCCCACGGTGTGAGGATAGGGTGTGACAGGCATGAGCTTTAAAGGTAGGGAAGGACCAGGACAACAGACACGTAGTACACGGCACTGAACCACCTTGGTTGAAGTGTGGGCTCCATCACTATCTGGGTGTGGGCACTATGAGGCAGACTGGTCTAAGAGCTTCCTGCTTGAGGGACACAGGTTATTGGGAGGTAGTTACACTACAGGGTATAGCACCACCTTCAGGGATGACTGTCCTCACCTGGGTGGCCCAGAGGGCTCTGCTGTCCTGAGAGTGCAAGGTGACTGGAAGCTTAGGACATAACTACCCTGTGCCTTCAGCTCTGAGGAGTGTAAAGGGGATGGGGTCAGTGGGGTGGGCTCTCCATGAACATTAACAAGCACAGACTCAGGCAGGAGCATGGCCTAGAGTAAGGACAGAGTGGATCCAAATGGAAAGCTGATGGGTTTTTAGCAAAGGCTACAGCACCCCTGCTAGTAGGACTTAAACTGCTCACTAATTTACTATTTAATTAGATAATATATTTCTTTCTTGTTGTTTTGTTTTTCCAGACAGGATTTCTCTGTGTAGCCCTGGATGCCCTGGAACTCACCAGGCCTTGAACACCAAGATCCAACTGCCTGCCGGGCGGTGGTGGCGCACGCCTTTAATCTCAGCACTTGGGAGGCAGAGGCAGGCGGATTTCTGAGTCCGAGGTCAGCCTGGTCTACAGAGTGAGTTCCAGGACAGCCAGGGCTACACAGAGAAACCCTGTCTCGAAAAACCAAAAAAAAAAAAAAAAAAAGATCCATCAGCCTTTGCCTCCTGAGCCTGGCTAAGAAGATATTTTTCTAAACTCAAAAGTTTTGTATAGAAATATAAAGTAGAAAGGAGATATCAAGTATAAACCATTAAAATGGTTTTGGGTTAAAATGAGGCTGAAAGCAAGGGAAATTCTTTGCCCCGAGAATCAGCATGGTAAGATAAGGTTCTGTCCTAACGGGTTTACAAAGTAGAAAAGAAAGCGGATGCCCCGCAGGTGGCAGTGTGACCTAAGGCGCAGCAGGTAAAGGTTAAACAGCACGCGTGTGCATGTGTGCATGCACAAACACACGAGAGTCCTGTGGGTACGAACTAAAAGGAATGAAATTTCCCACTTACAAAAGCAGGAAGGCTGCCGAGGGAGCACAGCTTCTGTTTGATTTCTTAGCCAATGGACATCTCAAAACCTCAGGATCCGACTGGTTTCTCTGTTGTGCTAAACTAAATAGGAACCGAGACTCCCACTGTACACCACTAGGGCGCTGTCCCTGCTCTACTCGTCTCCTCTCTCTTGTGCAGGCTTTTAAAAACAAATGAGGTGGGTTTTTTTTGTTTTTGTTTTACAGAAATGTTTTCAAGGTGTAAAGAAAAAAAAATTGATTTTATTCAAATGCTTCCAAATAGGTCCCAACATTTCCATCAGCCAAAAGCTAAAATGTCACCAGGTGACAGTGACACCTACTCTGTGAATTTGCCCCTGCTTTGCTGTCTCCCACCTACCTGAGGCTCCCACCAGAATATCAGGTCAATGTATTTCCTCCTGACTTTCTTCTTGTTTTGTGACTCTAAGAGGCTGACTTTGGAACACATCATCCCAGGCTGCCTGAAGCCCGCCTGAGACAGTTGCTCACCCAGCTCAGAATACACTCTTCCTCCTGCTGGAGCAAGAGCTGGAATGGTACTGGTCACTGTAACATTTTATTTGCCATTAGACTGAACCAATGAATCCATTTTTCTTTTTGCAGAGGCCTTTTAAAAGGGAATCTTCTGCAAGGGGACCCTGATCCTGACGGCAGCTAGACAGCGACTATCAGTGCCCTGAGTCTGTGAATCTGTCAGGTTTTCCCATGATGTGGGTGATTTCTCACCCTGCCTCCCCAGCACAAAGCCCTGGCCCTGCTCCCAAGACCCTACTTCCTTCTCATTCTGCTTCACAATCCCAACTGAAGAGTGGAATGGAGCTCCCTGAGAAAGGAGTGTCTGGGGCAGGCACCCCAAGCTGATGGTCATGGGAGCAGAGCTCTGACAGCTCTTAATGCCCCCCAAATATGGGGTCAGAGGGAGGGGCCTGCCACTGGCTCCCCTGATGCACCACTTCCTAAGGTCAGACTGAAGGAGCTGGTGGAGATGGAGGAGGCCACTGCTACCTCTAATTTCCTGCAAAGACAGATGTGTGTCTGACACAGGACTTAGGGAAGGGCTGTGAGAGGAAGGTCCACACAAACCCGACACTCCGTCATCTTGGCCCAGAGCTTCGTGAGGAACACGGGAGGGCCTGGAGAGCCCCAGGGACAGACCACCTGAGGGGCCTCCTGCACCCCTGGCATTTCTTAAGTCAATCTAGGGGTATACAGTATTTCTTAGGCCCTGACTCCAAGTCTCTCCTCACAGGAATCAGGGAAAGTAGAAAAGGGCTGGCCAGCCTGCAGCTAGCACGGCTTGGTCTTGGATCACCTTTCTGGAGGTTCCCCCTCTCCTTCGTTTGCGTTTGCGTATGAGATCACTTCCCAGTTTCAAAACAAAACATACCAAACAATGGTCATTTAAGTCCTCCCGATGCTCACCTTGTCCGACACTGGGGGTGGAGTACATACACTCCATCCTGGTATTTCTCCCCCACAGTTTCTCGGTCCAAGTTAGCCAGGATTCTGGCAGCGTGGGAAGCCTCCATAATGTGGCATGATTTCAAGGCTTCTGCCATGAGAGAGACCCATCCTGAGGAAAGAACAGATATCCTGAAGACTGATGCAAACTAGTCTCTGCTGTACAGAGATGCTTCAAGGTCTGTGCTGGGCGGGGAACCAGACACTCCAGCTCAATTCTGTCCTAAGAACCTCTGAGTCCCACAGCACAAAGCTGTGATATTCCAGCCAGAGCTCCCTGAGAGGTCACTAAGTAGGGAGTGTGCAAGCGGCTTCTTCCCACACAGAAAATAAGCACACAGCAATTACTATGGGTAAGTTCAAAAGAGGACAATGCTGTGATGGACTGCTTTAAGGAGGACTCTAACAATCGGTGGGATGATATGAGGATGGCAGTTCATCAACAACTCTGACTGCAAGTAAGAAAACTACTTCTTACATTTCTTATTATCACACCTAGAATTCAGACAGGAAGCATACTATTCTTTTAATTTTTAAAAATTATTTTAAAAAGAAACAGAGGACGTGTGGATAACAGTATGACTCCAGCATATGTATAAAAGTACACATATGCATACAAGAACACTGGGAGATCTGAAAAGATTCAGGACACCAAACTCATCAGTGTCATTACCTCTCAGGAGACAGGTGAGTGAGGGCGCTCTACAAAAGGTAGGTTCAATTGTTCTGTGTCTGTTTTAGTATGTTCAAGGGCCTACGTGTGTATCATACACTGTTTT